GGCTCCCATTAAAGCGGCTCCCACTTAGGAGCCGGCTCATGTCGTTCACTTCAAAGAGCCGGCTCTAAGAGCCGGCTCGTTCGCGAACGACACATCACTAGTCTCCACTTTCAAATGCTGTGGACGGACCTGCATTATGCGTTAAACCATGTTTCGTAACGTTCGTATCTGCTCACATCCCTACATATTTGAGATACAAAAGATATCTGCTTATAGCTTCTAGTTGATATATATGATCAATATATCACACCTTATCTTCGTGGGGCTTTTCATGTCATAAACAAGAGACGCCAGCCATCATCTAGCTTGCGAGCTAACTGGCTTCCAGGGCTCTTCTCAGCCGGCAATCAGGCACCGGGCTCATCCGCGGCATCACCACCTTGCTCGGGAATTTAAATAGCAACACTGAGATGTTCTGTAAAGTGCGATAACCAGAGAATATGCATTTTTGTGGTGTAGGCATTGCTAGCAAAACTGGATGCTATAGTGGTAGAAATGGGTCCAATAGCGTCACAAGTAACTCACAGTTGTGCCGGATAATGCAAATGAAACCACTGATGTTTTTATATTATTGGGTGAGGAACGACTCATTACGGATCACCAAGTGTATCACTGGGCATCGTTTTACCCATACCCCAAAAATCAGGTCAACTGAAATGGTGAAAATCAATTTAATGCTCTAGCACTAGAATTCAGTACAGTCCTGCATGCTTTAGTTCTCAGTCTTGATGGTTATGTTTATAATGTTTTTGAACAGTTTTTGATATACTGTATATGTATTTCATTGAATCCCAGCAAGAAGAATTCTATATGACAAAACATTTATATGACAAAAAAAAGAGAGACCTGTCCTCCTTTGAGCGGTCATTGTTGTGAACCGATCAGCTTGATTGCTTGAGAAACAGTATCAATGCTCATTTTCATCACTACTGCTGATTTTTTTTTTTCCCCAAACATTTATTTTTCGAAATGTAGTAGAACCGGCAAAGCATTCTCTTCACATGAACTCGAAGGACTCTTGGACTTCTGCGGAGGATGTGTTGGTGGAGCGAGTGGGTTTTACAAAGAGATAGAGCCAAAGAGAGAACATGAGAGGACGTTGGCGGTCACTCAGGGGTTTGGCTGAAGGGCCCCCGTACAGGTGGGAGGCGAGATGCTTCACTGCCCCCAGAAGGCCTTGGGCAGAGGTCCCCAACCGCCGGTCCGCGGACCGGTCATTTGGTACCGGGCCGCACAGAAAGAACTTACATTAATTCTGTTTTATTGATTTCGGAATACGAAAGATGTATTATTTTGAAAAATTACCCGATTCTCCGCTACATCCGTCTGTGTCACTCTTGACGCACATCAAGCCACGCTTCTCCATCATGTGACCGATTACTTCAAAACAAAACGCAGGAGCTCGCAAAATGAGTAAAGAAAACTGTTCGAGATCGCAAATAACGGCGGCCTTAAAAGCATGTTCGAGACAACAACTCTGCCGGTGTTCTGGATTAAAGTTATGGCTGAATATTCTGAGATCGCCACAATAGCACTGTTGCTATTTCCGACACCCTACCTGTGTGAAGCGGGTTTTTTCTGCAGCAACGGCGACTAAAACAAAATTACGAAGTAGACTGGACATAAACCACAGACTTCAGGTGCCATTTTCTCCTATTACACCGAGATGGGACCGCCTGGTTGCAGAAAATCAAGCTCGGGGCTCGCACTGATTTAGCATTGTGGTGAGTGGTCATTTTCATGCACTTTGAATTTGCGTTGTATCGTATTTTGATTAAACATTACCATAGCGATCAGATTAGACGCTCCTCGTGCTTATTATTATCTTTCGAAAACACCACGATTTGCATGCAGCTCACACCATATATATTTTTTTATTTATCCACCACACCTTAAATGCCGGTCCCTGAAAACATTGTCTGACATAAACCGGTCCGTGGGGCAAAAAAGGTTGGGGACCCCTGGTCTAGGGGAAATCACTGTTCAGACAAATGGAGTGTGAATTGTGTGGGTGTGTATACATGCGTGTGTCATATGCAAATAAGATTCAGGCTAATATCGCTGCTACCTGTTGAGCTTTGCTAAATGTCAGCCGCTCGACACCATGAGCGAGGAGGCAGGAATAGCACAAAGCCACAGGTGGTCACTGCAATACCCAGCTGGTGTAGCCCTATAAAATGAAAATGGAAAGGGATGCATTTCACTATCCGCTTACAAGAAATTGTCCAAAAATCAAAAACCTGGATTTTTTTCCTTTAATTTACTTTTACAAGAATCTTCACATGAAATCAACTTCTGAGAGAGCTACTATATTTTTTGTCTTCTTTTAAAATTTTGTACCCCCTAAAATCTGTTTATTAGAATTGGCTAGTTAAACCATAAATTTACCACAAATGATCATAAAACACTTTAAAATATTTTTCAAAATGGTCCTCAACCATTGACCTTAAAGCAGAATGACTTAAATATCATTTGATCAGAGTGAATCATCAATTGTTGTGAATCGTTTTGTTTGAGCATGAGCGTTTGTCTTTTCTAGGGCTATTTTCAACTGGCATTCGGCTGTGGCTGTTGATTATTGACCTGTTGCATAATGCATCTTGTTCTTCATAACACCTCCCGAGCCAACCAGCCAGCCTGAAATTTTCTGTACAAGAACAAGTATTGCAGAAATCAAATATTTATGGCCGCTTCTTCCACATTCACACATCATGCAGGTGGAGATGTTGCAAACTGGCTTTTCCAGCAGGAGTAAAAAAGCACCGCTCCCTCTTTTTGCGAGTCACTTTTGACCGACTTGTCACTGGACTTTTTATCCCTTTGTGGGGAATAATATGGTGCGCAGTGACCAAAATGGCTTCCAGCTGAGTTGTTTGGTTGAGCCTCGGCTTGATGTTCATGCCCTGTCTTCACTGGGAAATGTTGGCTGAACGGAGGAAGAAACAGCAAGGCCGTGTTTGTCGAAATATAGCATTCAAATATATATAAGTTGTGTGTACAGTCGTCGATGCATTTTTTGAAAGTGACTTTATATCAGCATCTTTGATTTGATTTCTCAATAATCTCCATTTATTTATCAATTTCAACATATGCTGTGCTCCTATATAAGTTTTCCAACGTATTCACAATTTTAGTTATTCCCTATTATACATTATTGTTTTGACTTATTATGTACAGCACTCAACTTATTCATGTAATATTATACTTAAGTTATTATTTTAATCGGATTTCTTACTTTTTACATTTGTATTCACTTTACCTTTTCAATACTTATAATTTCATTCTTTCTTGGCTTATATGCTTATTATTGGTTCTCAACACCAATTACCACCTACAAATGTTTTCTTTGAGGGAGGGGGGAAATACAGTTCACAAGTGCAAATTTGCAAATGTGCAGACCACCATTATTCTCATTTGAAGAAAGGTTTTCACCTCCCCATGTAGTGTTCGTAGCTGTTTATTGTATTAAATGGGGGGGGGGGGGGGGCTGCCTGTCTCCTTGCATGGTTTATTTTAACTTTGATTTTTATTTATTCTGCAGGATGGAATCCCCGAGAGCTTAAAGATGAAGGGTAAGTTTTCAATTTGAGATTCCCTCATCCCTTTTACCTCCCGATCAATGAATGACACAAAACAAAAGTTAGCACCTGGACGTGTAGGGGAAAATATGATGATTGTGTTGTGCATCAGTGGAGATGAGTGTATGTAGTGCATAAAAGACATATGTACAGTATATTAAAATATGTGTAAATACATACAAGTCTTTTGGAGCAGGGTGTGGGCCGGGGATCAGCGGGGTCTTGGAACAAGCTCAACCTTATTACCCGACCTCATCTCTCCTGCTGTCAGTTTGCTAAATGTCGACTTCTTTTGCAGTGGACTTCTTCATTCCCCAGGCAGTGATTCACTGCCTGTACTTAAATAACAGTTAAAAAAAAAAAGTACAGACTCTTTCAATGTACAAAACACATCAAAGTCACGTGAAAAGTGGATTACAGTTGATAAAATACAAACCCATTTTGACAACAAAAAACGTGGCTCACAAAATGGTTTCTGTCTTTAATTAACTTACAAAGTGTTCAATTGAAAGGAAGAAAACACATTCCCATCATATGGAGCATGTTGTTGTTGAAGTGCTAGTTAGTGTTAGCTCAACTTTTATGCCATCAAAACATTGTGTTTGTATGCTAACATTGTGAATAGGCAAACATCCATCCATCAATCCATTTTCCGATCCGCTTTATCCTCACAAGGGTCACGGGGGGTGCTGGAGACTATCCCAGCCGTCTTCGGGCAGTAGGCGGGGGACACCCTGAACCGGTTGCCAGCCAATCGCAGGGCGCACAGAGCCGAACAACCATCTGCGCCTACACTCACACCTCGGGACGATTTAGAGTGTTCAATCAGCCTACCATGCATGTTTTTGGAATGTGGGAAGAAACTGGAGTACCTGGAGAAAACCCACGCAGGGAGAACATGCAAACTTCACACAGGGAGGCCGGAGCTGGAATTGAACCTGGTACCTCTGCACTGTGAGGTCGACGCGCTAACCACTGGACCAAAAAAAAAAAAAACCATAATAAATTAACCACATGTGGGTAGAATATAAAAAGTAGTAAAAGGTAACAAGGATATTTTGAGATGGGATATTAGTAAGAAGTAGAAAGTACGAATATCTCTGTTTAAAAGTACTAAAAGTGAAAATGAATCAGAAAAATACATCCTCCAGTAAAGTACAGCTATCTGAAAAAGCGACTAAAGTAACGTCAAGTATTTGCACTTCATTACTCGCCACCATTACTGTTCTCTGTGTTGCCTTGGAATCAGTTTAGTGAGCCACTCAAAAGCTTGGATGCGCTTGAGCCTTGATGTTAGCGTACTGAGCAGCCAATTAAAGACTCCCATTTAGTAGACACGTCTCCATGCCAAAGCGCTTTTTAATTCATAAAAAATGATATAAGCACATGTAGAGGATGTATGTGGCTCCTTAATTAGCCGACGGAGCCTCTCATAGGAAATCATGTAAATTCATTCAACCAGAGCTCATCAAACCTTTACTAACTGTACAGGCAAGTATTCAGTAGTTAACCATTCATTTACTTTCTTGTATGCTTGAGAGCAGTTGTTTTGTTTCCTAATTTTATTGTCACCAATGTTAACTTGTTTTTACATTCAAAATTATGAGTGTTAGTGTTTTGACATACATATCAACAGTGATTAGCTTATTTTTAGACCTCAACGTGGCCGTTTTGGAGCGTGTCGTTGTTGGCTGAGAGTGCATGAACATCAAGAAGAGCAGACGGGGAAAAATAAAAGAACCAGCATGTGCACAGGAGCTTCGCGCTGACTTGGCCGCTTTAGAGCACCTCCTTGATGTAGCGTGGACTATATTCCTGCTTTTTGTTATGCAGGAGCGACAGGGCGTTAAGATCGATTAGATGATTATTAACTGATCAATAATTATCAGGCTTTCCTCAGCGGGCTGCATAAAAAGTAATTAAAAGTGTCAAAATGTGCCCAAGTAAGAGTAAAAATCTCCTTCCAGACTGGATGTCGACAAGGTCTAGGCAGTAATTGCAAGGTCTGCATTAGCATAACACGGCCAGAGGGAAGGTCTCACTCCGACCTGCTTTCGAAATCTCGTTTGCCGCCACAACGTTGACGAGGACGAGGAGGAAGTGATAAATAATTCAGGGTTCACCTCACGCACTCGCGCCGCCTTCTGATGATTACACAAGAGAGGTCAACTCAGCCTTAATGCCTCTCTTTTATAAACTGCATCCCCTTCTCAACTGGGATTTCACAGCAAAATGAGTCGATTGAGTTCACGCTGACAACAACCAAAAGATCTAAACAAAGAGCAAAGATCTTGGCCTCTGTGTGGATGGATTTGTATGGATGGATTGATTTACAAGATGTACATACATTGATTCGAATTGAACCGACTCGTTTCACTTTTAATTGTACCATCCTTGAATCGTAACACACCTCATGTATAGATTGAGATGCAGTACAAATCCTTTTTTATTGGAGAGATGCAAATGTGTGTGTGTGTGTGTGTGTGTGTGTGTGTGTGTGTGTGTGTGTGTGTGTGTGTGTGGAGATACAGTACGCATCGAATCGTGTGTTTCATTGAAGATCCACACCCCTACGGTCTCTCCTTATGTAAGTCAAATTGTAGCATAGCTGGCACCTGTTAAGCTGAACAATGTGCCACTGAACATCTAACGTTGGAGTGACCCAATATAGCAGAGTTGGCACCTATAAAATGGTAAACATTGCGAGCATCTGATGTGGTGGCATAGAGGCAGAAGAGGACGTTTGAGGCCAATTGTAAAACGATAAAGAAAATAACAAACAGAAATCTGAGACAGCAATGTAGAAGAGGTGACATCTGTGAACCTGACGAAAAAGAAAGGGTGTTTTATCACATTTACATACAAATAAACATATCCATAGTTACAGTTCAGCTTTCGCTTGATTGTAGTTTTATTATTGACCGTATTTTCCGCACTAAAAAGCACACTGGATTATTAGGCGCACCTTCAATGAATCGTCTATTTTGTATTTTTTTTTCATATATTAAACGCACCGCATTATAAGGCGCAATCTACAATGCATCCACTAAATGGAGCCATAGCCCTTTATTTGACTCGAGAAGCCTTCATGACCGCCTCCAAAAAAACCTAAATTAACGATTACTTCAACAAAAATACGAAAATCGAAAATACAGTAATGCATCAAAACAGAAAATCAAGCGAGGAAATCACAAAATAACTTCTATAGCCCCCCTACAGAATTTATTTTGTCATTTCCTTGAGCATAACTCCAACAGAAAGATCAGATGTTAGTAAAATGTAGGAGACTGGACTGTCTCAGAAGTGTTTTGTTATTTATTCCTTTGTTGTGTACTGTGTTCACAAACGAAGAAATCACAAAATAAATTCTGTAGGAGGGCTAGAGAATTTATTTTTTGATTTCCTCGCTTGATTTTCTGTTTTGATGCATTATTTTCAATTTTCGTAGTTTCAATGAAGAAATCGTTAATTTACGTTTTTCCGAGGCGGTCATGAACGCCTCTCGAGTCGAAGGAAGAAGAGAAGGCACAGAGACTGACAGACGTAAGTGTATTTGTTGAGACTGTGAAAAACATTTATAAAGTGTGCGTTTTAAAAAAAATAACACCACAGCTTTCCTTTTTTCGGAGCTGCAACAAAAACTTATTTAATAAAGCAGCGACACAGCTGCTGAATTGAACCAGCAGCAAGTTAGAACATTGTAAGCATGTCTCCAGGAAGGAGCCATCTTGGAGTCGACATATTACCGTAATGACCCGACACAAGGCGCACCGGATTTTAAGGCGCGCCGTGGGCTTTTAAGAAAATGGAAGACTTTTTGTTGTTTTGGTGGTGGTGGTGGGGGGGGGGGACTATTCTTTGATATTTGCTGAAACTTTACTATTTCCTGCAAAGCAATACTGTCAAAGAACTAAGTTGATTTGAGTAATTTCATTTTGATATTATTGCTGTGTTGCCATCTTTGGGATCTATAGACAATTCTAAACTTATTTTGGGGGGATTTTGTTGGTCTTGCAAATATTGTGGCTTCATTGTACTTTTTTTCCTTTCTCAGACATTTTTGAAGTTGCATATTTTACATTGGTCAGTGATAATATTACTTTATATTGTAATATACGGTGTATCATGAATTATTTAAAAAAAAAAAACATTCTACTCAGATGTCATCGGGTGAAGATGGACACATCCAGCACACTAATCAAAAGGTTGCATTGAAATAAGCATAACATCATTGGAGGAGATAATACAGTCAAATTACATTCACCCCTTGGGGCTTTTATGTAGTACAGTGAGCGTGTGAGCAAAATGAAGTGAGAGCAATGAGATGCGTCTACTTTTTTGTCGTGCACCAGGATGAAAAAGCCTTTGTTGCCACACAAAAGAGCAACATCGATAAAATGACAGACGCTTGCCAGCGTGCTCGCTAATTGGGAGTACCCGCGCCGAGAACTCGTCACGAAAGCCTGACTCATCGGTTTCAAGGCAATATTTAGCTTGGCAGACCACCCAAAAGCCGGCTCGCTGTCCATCCGTTCATCCAGCCATCTGTCCACCAACCACCAACCAACCCGGCCTGCTGTGATGTCATAGTCTGTCTGATTTAAATAATCCTGCTCCCGCAGGATTCATTTCTTTCTTTCTTTTTATTCCCCACAATTTTTAAACGGTGGACCTGCCCTGGTGAGTGATGTGGAATTGAACAAATGAGGATGTACAGTTCTCCAGTTGTTAACTGGCTACAGCATTAGCCACAGTGTGTAGCGTGACGGCATCCACTGAGGCTATCAGCAGGACAGCTGTGAGTGTGCTACAGCTTCTTGTTGCTTTCAAGCTTAGCTTGTAGCAAACGTGTGCACATTGCAGCATAACGTCTTTGATCCACTGGTGAAAAGGACACTTTGATTCGCTCCTCTTTCATCTATAATTGCTTCAGACGACAAAGTGTATGCAGGAAAGTGGTTAAGATTGCACGATTGTCTGTGTCTCGTGTTGTG